TATTTTTGGACTTCTGTGCTAGTCATAGTTTGTCCATCACAAACACCATGTTTGAACATAAGGGTGTCCATAAGTGCACTTGGCACCAGAACGCCCTAGGTCATAGATCGATGATTGACTTTGTAGTTGTGTCATCTGATTTGCAGCCGTTTGTTTTGGACACTCAGGTGAAGAGAGGAACTGAGCTATCAACTGATCACCACCTGGTAGTGAGTTGGATCAGACGGCAGTGGAAAATGCCATATAGACCCGGTAGATCCAAACATGTAGTTAGGGGTTGCATGGAATGCCTGGCAGGAGAACCCATCAGAAAGATCTTCAACTCACACCTCCAGGAGAGCTATAACTACATGCCAGCTGAGACGGGAAACATTGAGTTAGAGTGGGCCATGTTCCGTGCCTCAGTTGTTGAGGTAGCTGTCTTGAGCTGTAGCTGCAAAGTTGTTGGTATTTCTCACGGTGGCCATCCTCGAACTCGGTGGTGGACACCCCGGGTTAGGAAGGCTGTCAAGCTGAAGAAGGAGTCCTATGGGTCCTTGTTGGCTGGTGGGACTCCAGAGCAGATGAGGAGTACTGAAGGGCCAAGCGGGCCGCAGTTGCTGAGGAAAAAGCTTGGATGTGGGAGGAGTTTGGTGAGACTTTGGATAACGACTCTCGGTCAGCTCCAAGGAGATTCTGGCAAACCATCAGGCTCCTGAGGAGGGAAAAGCAACTCTTTCCTAAAACTGTGTTCAGTAAAGGTGGGGTACTGTTGACCTCAACCAGTAATGTCATCGGGAGGTGGAAGAAATACTTCTCAGACCTTCTCAATCCAACCAGCACGTCTTCCATTGTGAAAGCTGAGTCGATGGACTTTGGGGTTGGTCCATCTATACCTGTGGCTGAGGTCACAGAGGTAGTTAAAATGCTCTGAGGCAGCAGGGCTCCATGGATTGATGAGATTTGCCCTGATTTCCTTAAGGCTCTGGATGTTGTGGGGCTCTAAGTTTACACGCCTTTGCAACATCGTATGGACATCTGGGGCAGTGCCACTGGATTGGCAGACTGGGTGGTGGTTCCCCTCTTCAAAAAGGGAGACCGGAGTGTGTGCTACAGTTACAGGGGTATCACTCTCCTTACCCGCCCTGGTAAGGTCTATTACTTTTATGGACAGAATTTCTCGGTGCAGCCAGGGGGCAGAGAGTTTCCGGTTCAGTGGTCTCAGGATTCCATCTCTGCTCTTTGCAGATGATGTGGTCCTGTTGGCGTCATCATACCATGATCTTCAGCTCTCACTGGAGCAGTTCGCAGCTGAGTGTGAAGCAGCTGAGATGAGAATCAGCACCTCCAAATCTGAGGCCATGGTTCTCATTCAGAAAAGGGTGAATTGTTCTCTTCAGGTTGAGGGTGAGGTTCTGCCTCAAGTGGAGGAGTTCAAATATCTCAGGGTTTTGTTCACAAGTGAGGGAAGAATTGAGCGTGAGCTTGACAGATGGTGGTGCAGCGTAAGCAGTATTGCGGACCCTGTGCCGCTCCATTGTGGTGAAGAGGGAGCTGAGCTGTAAGGTAAATCTCTCTGTTTATGGTCAGTCTACGTTCCTCCCCTCACCTATGATAAGAGTAGGAACGTAGCAACACTTACCTTGTTTTATGGAACCCTGATTTAATGTTTTATAACACCACTTTTATGTTCATTGCATTTTTACTGTAGTTTATTGTTTATTGTTGCCTGTACTGTATATGTTCTGTCTGGAACAGGTCTCTCTTGTAGAGAGAGTCCTTGTGGCTCAATGAAACTAACCTGTTTAAATAAAGGTTGAATAAATGAATGGTCACAAGCTTTGGGTAATGACTGAAAGAATGAGATCGTGGATACAGGAGGTTGAAATGAGTTTCCTCTGCAGGGGAGCTGGACTCTTAGAGACAGGGTGAGAAGTTCAGTTATCAGGAGAGACTCTGAGTAGAACCACTGCTCCTCCACATCCAGAGGAGCCAGTTGAGGTGGTTCATCTGGTAAGGATGCTCCCTGGATGCCTCCCTAGGGAGGTTCTTCAAGCATGTTCGACTGGGAGGAGACTCCAGGGAAAACCAGGTCACGCTGGAGAGACTACGTCTCTCTATTGTCCTGGGAACTCCTTGGAGTCCTCCCAGAAGAGCTGGAAGAGGCTGTGGAGAGAGATGTCTGGACCACCCTGCTCAAGATGCTGCCCCCAAGAACTGAGTCCAGAAGAAGAGGAGGATGATGGATGGATAGATGGATGGATGCATGGCTGAATGGATGGATGCATAGATGGAGGGATGGATGGGTGGATGAATGGAGCTAATGCTATTAGCTCTGAAGCTAAAGCATTGTGTAAAACGCTCCGGTTCAAAGGTCTGTACGTCAGTTTCTGCTGAGCTGCAGGAACGGACTAGTCTTCCTGTAAATCTCAGCCCCTGATGGAGTTGGACCTGATCAGCTGGTGTCGGGGTCATCTCGGAGCTCCAGCCTTCACGTTGTGATGGAAAACTTGGACCACTGTCTGGACGAGACCCTCAAACTGTTTATGGTCCATATTGTAACCGTCATGGAGACACGTTGATCCTGAGCGTCCCTGCTTTGTTTGAATGTTGCTCCAGTTGTCGATGGTGATAAATGAACCCACCAACCCGACGCCATGCTGACGGTCCATGTCTTTGTTCTGAGGAGCTTTGTGGTGAGGACTAACTCCGAGTGAAGTGGGGCGCGGCTCCAGGGAGCGCCTGGATTTGGTCACCATGTTGGAGATTAGAACTTCACGTTTTAGATGGACTGCCATGTAATCTCATACAAATCTGTGATGTGCTCACGGGACAGGACCGGATCGACAAACTATTTTCACTTTACAACAATATTGTAGCTTTAGCTGAAAGATGATCTGATGATTTTTAGCTTCTTCAGCTCTGTTGCAGGAAGAGTGTGTGTGTGCACTGTCTCTCATCTTCTAGACAAGTGGTTAATCTGCGTGACCCAGCAGGGATTATGGAGGTTCTGAGATAAAAAGCTTCAGCTCTGAAATCTTTTATTTTTCATCGTTCTGTCTCGAACCGTTTCTTCCAAACTCGTTTAGTAAAACTCGTAATTTGAGCAGAAACATCCGTCCGCACATCTCAGACGTAATCTGACTCAGATTATATTAGAAAGAGGAAACAGATTACAGCTGCAGTTTTTCACATTTCCAGATGTTGTCCCTGCTTCATGAAGTCAGATTAGATGTCGCCACGAACAGGAAGTGGGTTCATGTTGCTCCGAGACAGCAGGTGACAGGAGCGTCCAGGTGGGCCCACGCTGGTTTCTTCAGATTACCTCCAAGCAAAGCTCAGTGGTTTCCATGAAGCGTGAAGTGCTTCATGGCCCAGTCGGCCATTTTCTACGAGCCACTTGGTCTGAGAGCAGGAAGCTGCCCACAGACAGGAAGTGGATTCATTTCATGAAGAAACTCTGAACATTTCTCTGAAACGTCCAGTTTTTATGGAGGACACCTTCATCCAACAGTTGATGTGTATACACCACGGGTGTCCAGTTCTGGTCCTGGGGGGGGGGGGACT